TTGCAAGGGTGTGAAGGGTTTTAAGAGGACAAGACACTAAACCTGATTTACGTGGTCATGAAGGAGATGTTTGGTGTTAACTGCAGCGGGCCAACAGACTTTTATGCTGCTGTCATGTGAACCTATGTGAAAAGAACCATCTCTCATAAAGGGCTGATCTCAAAAACAAGAAAAAAAAAAGGCAAAGATCTCAAAAAAGAAAGTTTAGTCTTTTGAAATTTGTATATTTATGTATCCTTGGAAAATGACCTATTTTTTTGATGCCAAGTTGTGGGTAATTTGGCTCTCTTCTGTAATTTTGATGGAGAAGGCTCCATTGGCACCTGCAGTTTGTTCCTGCCATTAGCCTGGGTGACATGGAGAGAGCTACCAAAATCTTCTTCATAACCTTTAACATTTCGCCAGTTAATATTACAGAGAACAGCGGGGAGAGCAGTTTTGAGGACGGAGATGCAATTTCAGGGACTTTCTAGGTGAGTCTTTGGCTGGTCAGCTGCCCTCTCCTTCAGTATCTCCTCTAACATTTGCAAAAACAGATACCTCATTTGGAGGATGCAGCCCCACTGAACTGGAGACAGAGAAAACCTGAATAAACAAACATGTGCCGCAGATTAGTAAGAACATCTGTAGATTTTATATTGTTTTGAGAGCACATACCACATAGCTTTTCAATTCTTGGGCTTTTCGAGTTTCTCCCTTTCTTTTTGTCTGTTTTCTTCCTTTTAAATATATTGCTAATAAAGGTTGGAGGTAGAAAGCACAGCTGGACTCTGCATGACATGCCACTGTTTAATTTCTAGCTCGAAGGATGAGAAGAAGAGTAGTTTCATTGTATGCTAGAGGAGAATAAAGCCACATGCAAATCCCAGCCACGAACATCTGTTTCCTCTTTATGTGAAAGAATCCTCATATTTTGAAGGGAATCCCAGTTTTGAAGGGACTGATGAKTTTTTTCTGTTGTTTTTTTTCCCTTCCCGCTCTCCTCCCCCTAGTCTCTCCTTTTCTTTGCGACTCCTTCAGCATCTCCCCTCCCTGCTGTCTGGCTGCACAGTTTCCTTCTGGAAGATGTCAGCTTGCGACTTAGCATCGCCCGTTGAATGGGGGAATTCTGAATTACTTCAAAATGGTGTGTTACAGCAACGAGGAACATTAGCACTAGCTGTGTTTTTGCTATTGATGCAATTCTATAGCACTAGTTTTAAGCTGCCCCTTAATTTTTTTGTTGTTTCTTCAAGCAGTGTTTAGTGAGACTTTGTTCTGAGATGAAACTCCAGGACGTGCGGGCTGGTGTTTTTTGGAGAGCTGGTGATTTGTTTTTCTGTTTAGCTGACAGTGAAGTRCAACTGTTTGTATAACTCACTTATAAAAACGTGATTTTAAGGATTTAAAAATCCTTCTGTATGAGGACARTGAGGGAGATCTGCAAAAAGAAAAAAGATCTGCAACATTTCCTACATTAACTTAGGTATCAGGTGCTAAAAAAGCAGGGGTCAAAGTAACTGACAATTTCACTAACCTATAAAACATGTCAGAATAATGATTTACAGCTCTCTGGGAGCTTTACACTTTTTTTTACTCTTTTTTTTTAGTGTGAGATTTGACTGTGCTGAACAAACAGCATGGTTATATAACATCAGGCCAGGCATGAGAACTGGTACCCTCTGTCTATTTTATATGAATGTCAAATGAGAGGTTGGCGAAGCTCGCCAGGGATTCATATTTGTTGGCAGAAAGTCACCCACATGTGTGGAGCACATTTTCATTGTTGCCTTAGCCCATTTCAGGCAGAAATATTGCCGCCTGGCAGGGCACGATTCTCTCCGTTGCTGGAGAGCTGTGCTTTTAAAAAGGAAAATGCAACATGGGCTCAAATGGTGAATGCTGCTCGGATGGAGAATCGTCCCCAAACTGAGTTTTGCCATGCCTGTCATGGGGGAGCAGAGAGGGTTCGCATGGCATCCGAAGTCTTTTTCCCTCTGGGATGAATTAACGCTTGCAGAGATGCAGAGATTTTGCATATATTAGTGCTGCTTTTGGGCGTAGGCTGTTTAGTCTGGTTTCTGAGGGAAACGAGGCTTATGCAAGCAGGGTGTACGCACACGAGCACACAGCAGTGTGTGCAGCCGGGCTGTTTCTTCCTGCCTGGTACCCTCTGGTCCTGCTGGCTGCAGGAATGTGGCAGAAATGTGGGAGCTGCAGGGGAAATAGAAGCTCCCAGAGGCTTCTTAAAAATAGGTGCATGAGGAGGCAGTAGAAGAAATTTGAGGGCTTCTCTGCAGTGTGAACCTACCTTTTGACAAGGGCTGTGCGATCCGTGTCGCAGGAAGCTGTGATGAAGATTCCAGGCACGGGAAGCTGAGCTCGGCTTGGAATTTTTAGGCTTTGGAGAATCTGATGAGAAAAAGGAAACTGGTGGGAAGCTGAACTGCCTTAACTCCCCTGCCCATGAGACTGCTTGTGTGGGTGCTGTTTTAAAACCAGGATGTTTTCTAGCAGGCTATGATGGAGGCTTTGATTTTAGGAGAATATTTCTTCTTAGGAACTTCTGTGTGCGAGGGAAGGTGCTTCATTGTTTGCTTGAAAACTGAGCTCCCTGTCCCAGACATGCCAGGGAGGATGGAGATGTGTGGCTGCCTAGATCCCACTGACCTGCATCCTAACCCTTTCCAGGGCTTTTGGTAGGCTGTGCCTTGCAGCATCTTCTGGGGCTCCTGAAGAAGTGAAGGCCATAATCTCCATGTGCTTCTGATTCCTGCTGAGCAGGACTTGGAAGACAAACACCATGAGCGCCGAAAAGCAAAGAGCAGCGGGAACAAGTTTCCTCTCTAGCTAGCAACGGAGATGCAAAGGGGGTTATGTCAAAAGCTCCCCTTGTTGTCGTATTAGCAGCTGCATAGTCTTTACACTCATTCATGAGTAYAGAAGAGCAGCACTTGGAGCCTGTGTGTTTGAAAGCTTGTTTTATTTGGTATACAGCTGGAAATAGTGCATTTCCTTTTCTCCTTTTAACAAATTTGAAGCAAATGTAGTGGGTATTGTTTCATTTCCCCCCTTTCTTTTTTGGCCTAGATAATGGAATATTATGCTGCTTTTCATTTTATATTGCAAAGAAATGATGCCATTTAACTGCAAWTCAACAATGATGCAGCAGCATGTGGAGATATATATATATATATATTATATATATCTTCTCGTAAATATGTTACCACACATTACTGTCAAATAGCTGGACTTTTTCACCCAGTATTGAAAACAAAATTTAATTGCTACACTAGAGTTTCAAGGCCCTGATAAATAAGAGCCATGTTTGACCTTTACTGTGGGGCTCTGAGATGCCACCAGGGATATTGTTCAAGATGACAAACTTCCTCTGAGATTTCAGTTTGTCAGCTCAATGTACAGCAGTGACATTGATTTCTTCTCACTGCCATTTCCTGCCTGAATAGATAACAAATTTTCTGTGGCAGGTGTCTGTCAAGTTTAGTTTTGCCTGGCAGATTAACTTAATAGACTCATTTATTAATCATTAGTTGCAACAGTGAAGCAGACAATACTCTTTAACTCTTGTGATGTTGGATTGAGGCTYCTTTTCCAAGTTTCTTGGTATAACCTGAATTTAGATTTACAAACCTGCTCATATCTCTATACTGAATGTTTTTATTCTGCCATTACACATGTTATGAAGAGTTAAGATTTATTCATTAACYAAATGTGACTCATTTGGAGTGTCTACTAGTTCTCAGGACAAAAGGCGCCTCTATGCTTTCTAAGACTAAGCAACAAAATCAATGCAAAGAGGTGAAAATCTGACCCAACGTGGATGATATTTGAGGTCATGAAGATAAGAGAGTAGGAGAAGGAAACAGATATGTGGAAGGAGGTTTAAAATTGGAGCTGACTAGCTGTTGAAGTGGGGGAGAAGCTTTTTTAGCAAGGGGCAAAAAAGAGCTACAGAGACAAATGTAGCACAGTTCTGGTTGGAAGTGCTATGGGGACACCCTTCTGTGCCATGCCTTAAGACAGAGAACAGGGCTGGAGATGGGGAAGGCAGAGTAAGYACCAGAGATGGATTTTGGATAGGGCTTGTTGGAGCAGCATGGAGCAGGGAGAGGCAGAAGAGCTTAGGAGTGACACTGGAAGGGGAGGGAACTCCGAGAAAGGGCACGTCCGTGAAAAGTAGAGACTTCTTGGTCCCTCRGCCTCATCCTTTCCTTCCTGGGTGAAAACTGGATGCAGAGCTGAAGGAGAAGTGTGTTTGCTTTTCTTCCTGTGTGTTAGGAGGGTTGGTCRGGAGGCATTTCTCAGGGCAAAGGCAGTGAAGGAGCTGGAAATGCACAGATGCTGCCAGGGGAGAGTGGCAGAACTCCAGCCTCGCTGGAGATGCAGGCTGGTGCTAGACAGAACCATCTCTCCTTGCAGGTGATTAGTGAGGAGAACCACAGAGCTTATCCTGTGGGTTTTGCTTGGACTTGGTAGCTTTTAACAACCTACTTTTATTTCTCAAGGGGTCTCATTGATCTGAGATCCCTGGGAGATGTTCAAATAACCTTCCCTTGGTTGCCAAGGTCCCCTTTGCAAAGGCCTGGTCAGAACAGAAATGTTTTTAGGCCCACCATTGGTGAGAGGGTGTGTTGCTGAAGATGGTTCTTCCTGGCCCTGGGAGTGTGGCCTGCAGCATCCTCATGGCTCTCCTGGTGGGGAGTCAAGGCAAGAAGGTCCCTGCACTAGATTATGCTGCTGCCTGCTCTTCTAGGCCACCCTGCTAACGATACATTAACTTCTCAGCGGAGAATGTGATAAGCAAAGTAAAATTGCTTTAGTGAAACCAGTCATTTAATGGCAGCATCCATAAAGTGTCCTTAAAGATTTGTAAATGCAATAAGCTGCAGTTCACTACCGAGCAATAAAGTTTCCTAATTTAGCCAGTCAAGAAACATGACAACCTAATTTGCTTTGGTAACATTTTTTTTTCTTCTTTTTTTTTTCCACCTTCTCTCCAGATTCCTTTCTCTCTGGTACAATTTCCAATCTGGGAATCCTTAAAGGTAAGTCATCTTTAATGACAGCAACAGGTTATGTGTCCCACAGAGGCTTTCTGGGGTATTTTRCCTAGCTTGCTGATCACGTTGAAGGACAGTGCAGAATCAACAAGTATGTACCAGGCTGCCTGTGCATGTGAAGGTCTTTTGCATGGATATTTGGAAAAATAACAGGAATCATCTAAACGTTGAAACAGGGCATGCAGGCTAAATTTTACTTCCCAACATGCCAGAAATCTTATTTGCTGCCCTAAGGAATTTTATTCATTGGAGCAGAGTGGGAGCCATTTGAATTGCATGATATTACTTTATTATTATTTGCATTTAAAGGAAACAGGAATTGTAACTGAAGGAGAGAAAACTAAGCCTGTGTTTTCAGGCAGGGAGAGGCTCTTGGTGTATCACTGACAGGCCATTTTGATGGGCTTTGTGTACCTGACTTGAAAGGTCCTTTAAAGACGGTGTCGGTCGGGYGCTGTTTGAGCAGAGCAGCCGCAGGAGGAGGCACCGCTCTCCTCGCTGCCACCCAAGCTGGTCCTGGGAGCTGTTTCTCAGTCCATCCCTTTTCCCTTTAAACCATGAGGCTGTTTACTTGCTGCAAAAGGATGAAGGAAGGCCAGAGTTTCCTGGACTATTTGCTCGCAAAGTGGCAGGCAGAGGCAGCAGCAATAGTGGCTCCCTGGGTAGGCTCGGCCAAGGGCTCCTTTTCCCAGAGGAGGCGGATCCGGAGCAGATCCAGCGTGTGTTCACACACGTGGTGCTGTCCAGAGGGTGGAAGCTGTGCCTGTGGTTTGGTGACATGGAAGCTGTCTCCCTGGAGAAGAGGGAGAGTTTCTTCACCTGAAATTGGTGGAGGCTTCTGGCTCGTTGCTCGCAAATGTCCAACAGCTGCCACTCGTTAACTCTGTCCCTTGCTACCAGCCACCCTGCAGCATGTGCTGTGTGGTGTTGCTGGGTCTCTGCACTTTTGCCCTGAGAGACCCCAGGCTTTGCTTTGTTCCTTCATCATAGTTCCAGCTTTCCAGCACCCCTTCAGGTGCTCTCCACCAGGACCCAACCGGGAAGACGTACTGGGAAGGACAGGTATTGCTGACAGACTAGCTTACCCTGTGCTGCCCTTAGTTAGGGACGGTGGCTTTGTGATCTCCTTGGGGCTGCTGTTGGAGGGTAGCAAGTTCCCCACGGCTGCCTGGCCCGGCTCTTCTCAGGCCACGTCTTCCCACCCTTGAGGGATGAGCCTACGCTCCGAGCTTTAACATCTAGAGGCTTCAGTGGGAGCCCAGTGCCCTGTGCTCTACTGGTGTTTATGGAAGGCAAAGGCTTCCCAAAAAGCTGCCCCCTCAAATGGAAAGGTAGGAGAAGCGTGAAGTGCGGACAYGGATGTGAGGTGGGCTGAATGCTGTAGGTGCTTGGGAAGCACAGGGTGGCACGAGTGAAAGGGGGAAAAGCGCAGTGTTCTCCCCAAAACTGCATAAAACGATGCCAGGAAGTTGTTTTCAGAATGTAAAGTAGCTGTAACTAACATTCCTGTGGCAGTGAAATGGATTGTTTGAAGTACAGGCTTAAGGAAGGCAGTTTGAGTTTAGCTTGCTAAGGGAGTGAGTCACTAGAAATGAGACATCATGTTTAATCTAAAGAGGTCAGTGCAGATCTGAAGAAAACTCAAATTGGCTTAGTTTGGTCCACAGACCGGTTGCAATATATTCTGCATATGGAACTGTGTAGAAATCTGCAAAAATCAATATTGCTTCAGATCAGCACATGGAGAGAGCTCCGAGTTTGTCACATCAAAGCCAGGCAAGGAAAGTGGGATACATTTTATTTAGATGAATGAAGCTCTTAGGAAACTCTTAGTTCTCACTGTCTTACCCTTGTTACGATATAACAAAAGGATGAAAAATCCCCCATCGTGGGAGAACGTGGCCAGTAGCATCACTAGCAGTACGAGTCATGCAGGGGCTTCTCACTGGTGCTTTGAACCAAGGCAGTGTTTAAGATTAGGAGGGAGGGCAGAGGATAAGGGACAAACAGTGCGGAGCCCAAGCGCAGAAGGGTTAACTGGAGCTTTGATAAGGTCTGTGAGACTGTGCTCTATTAATGGGGTTGCTTGGGAAGGTAAATGCTGAAATAATGGTGTATTGAACACGTGTTGTTCATCTCAAAGAGGACAAAAGTTCAGGCATTGTGAATGGAGGATTTTTATAGCCATTGGTGCTATGTTATATAAACTGGTGGAGTCAACTCAGTCTTGTACTTCTCCAAGCAAGGTAATCACCTTAAGAATAAAGAAAAAGACCTTTTCTACCATAAAGGACAGTTAGTGAGACACATGGGAGAACAACAGAGTTTCCCTTTGCTTTCAGGTGTGCTGGCTGCAGCCAGCAGAAGGGTATTAGACTTGCAGCAGCCTAATGAAGGCCAGTCATAGGCAGAGAATCAGGTGTTTCCACATCCCTGTTTGTCTCTCTGCTTTGCTCCAAGGGTTCCAGCTGGCTTTAGCCATATAGTTTACAGGCACAACCTTCTTCTGAATGTGAATGTGCAGCAGCTGCCTATGTGAGAATAAACTTACATACCATGCACTGATGTGAGGTAGAAAAAGGAGAGAGATCTTCGAACTGTAAGATCCCTTAAACTGTGGGTGCTGGTAAAGCAGGTATTTCAGTGATTAATAAGAAATAGATATTGCCCCAAATAGTCTTTATTTCCGGCTACATAGCTTAGTGACTCTTTTCTTAGATCACAATGACTTAGAAGGCAACAGCATTGAAATGGGGGTGATTTTAATAAAAATAAACTCTTACGTATATGATATGTCTGTTTTAGAAGGAAGACAAATTAAATATCTGTTTCAGGGTCTTTACTGAAAGGTGGGACATCAGTTTGTTCAACAAAGTAGGGGTTTTAAAAGCTCAGCATCAAGAACTCGCTGACTGGTTTGATGGCAGCAACAGCTCTTCAAAAATATCATCTTCTTTCTTGTAAGTGGAGATGATCAGCTGGAAATCCGGCTGCCCCTAGTACCACAGTGCTTTGTATAAAATGAGCCCTTCTCTTGGGTGAAACGGGGCTCAATCCTCATGGATTTTATATTTCTTTCTGTTGGCTGCTGTTGCAGAGCCCTTGAATAGCCATAAATGGAGAGCGCTCTCTTTGCAGACCAAGTGTATTCTATGTCTGTAGAAAGGCTCTGGTAGTCAGTGTGGAGGGAAGAAGCAAATAGGGCAGGAGCACATAGATCTTAAATGAGTATAATTGAAAAATAAGGTGGTTTTATTTCTTTGAAGAGGAAAAACCTAGTATAGTGGGAACCTTTTGTCTTTTCCATGAGACACATCCAATTCTGAGATGAGACACTTGCGCACTGCTGAGAGTATGCAATGTCAGGGTCATGCTGACTTCACCCGGCSGAACGTGTGCCAAGGAATGCTGCTCTTGCACACGCAGCCTCTCCGGGAGGGCTGTCACACACTGCGCTGCTCGGCTGGCCTGCGTCCTGGAAGGCAAGATAGGAATCTTGGGCTGAATGCACTGAAGGTGAAGATCTGGCTCCTCTGGCACTGAATGAAGCCAGAATTTCCCTCTTATTGATAGGCAAAATCCAAAGATCTGGGACCTTCTGCAGTAACAGTGTAGAAGTCCGGAGAGAAAACTGTTATTCAACCTAGGCACTAGCACCCGTGTTCCAAATGAACAGAGCTTGGGAAGCTTGCAGGTAGACTCTAGACCTACGTGAAGGTCCTGGCCACAATGTGCTCACTTGTCCTCTCAGTTCTCCCCTCCAGGACATGCTGGTCCTGAAGCCTCTCAGGTGGCCTGGCTTGCACTGTAGGGTGTGAAAACGTCTGGGTGGGCTCAGGCTGCCTTGCAATTGTCACTGCAGAGACTCTTTTAAGACATACCCTGAGGCTTGCTGTGCCAGGGCTGCTCAGTGCGTTTCCATCTTGTTTGGAGCCCCTTGCACCTGATTTTTAAAGTTAATAAGAATGAAAGATTTACAGAATGCTTCTGCCCAGGCAGCTGGRGTCCCGAGCAGTAATACGTGTTTATAACTCCACCACTGAAACAATAAACCACATGCTATTTCCCTCCTAAAATTTACAATCAAACCTGTTGCTGCTTAACCAAATAAGTAGAAAATAGAGGAATGCAGCCAAGCTGGGCCTAAAATGGCTTTCCCTGCTCTATAGCTAGGTGACRGTGTCCCTTTCTTCCTGGTCTAGTGTTTCTTTTCTGCTGTGCTCAGCTGCATGCAAGTCAATAGCAAATGAAAGCCAGGCCTGCCGCTAAACCCATTTCCTTGTGAGAAGCATGGTAAGTGTTTTACCATTTCTCGCTCCTTCCTTGAGTGCCCTTCAGGCTGATTTCAGGATGAAGTCCCAATGGTGAAATAAGGCTAACGTGACTGCCGTCCACCGAGCTGCTCTAGCGCGGGGCCGGGTTCGCAGCGCGCCGCGTCGGGGCGTGATGCAACTCGCAGGCGGCATTCCTGGAGCAGAACGGCTGCATTTTTCTCACAAAAAAGAACAATGCAGCCAACAGCTGTTCAGCAAACAGCCCTCACTTTATTAGTGTCACAATAACTGTCATTCACCCAGCTTTTTAAGCGCAGTTGGAGGAATGCTCCCTGCCATCTGYGCTCGAGAGCGAGAAACAAATGCAATCATTGCGGCCCGGCTGAGGCAGTCGGATGGGCTCGGCTCGTCAATGTGCCGTTTGAAACGGCAGAAGCAAAACAGACCCGTGCAGTTCGGAGATACAGGGCTGGATTGTGATGCTCTTGATCATGCTCAGACCACGAGCGGTTTGTTGRAAGTTGCTGGGCCTGCTGGTGAGGTCTGGGGATGTTTCTGGTAGAGTGTAGATACCGTCAGTGTGAAGGGTTTGCCACTTTGTCTCAGATGCTTTCTCCTTGCTGAAGAATCTTCAAAAACCCGTGTAATTCTTCCCTGTAGCTTATTCACACAAACCTGTATTTGAGCACATCTTTTCTACCAGGTAATAGCAGTGCACCTGCTCGGAGCAAGTTGCTCCACCTTTAGAAGCCATTTTGGGAATTGCTTTTGCCTTCCCAGACACGTAACTGCCCCTTCCGCTCTGGGAGCTGAGAGTGTCTGGCATTTTATGCTCTGCCTTGCCATGGGAACACTGGTTTGAAGACAGGGTTTTTTTTAACTAGGCTTTTAGCACATCCATTTTGATTTACATTCAAATGAGTCGCAGACATCAATGCAGTATTATATGGGGAGAAAAAGGGAATGAAACGCTTTTAACATGAAAAATATGCTGTTGCATGTAGGCCAACTTTTGTTCTCTTTCTCTCAATTTGTCTGGGATTTGGGTGAGTTTAATTCTAGGGCCAAATTCACTGCTGGCATAAGCGAGCACAAGTCCATTAGTGTGATAGCAGACTCAACATTTATGTCAACAGTGAACTCGATCACTGAGTTTTTCCCATGTTAGGGCTTGCATGTTTCCTGCACGATAATATACACATGTACTGCACATATGCTGCACATATGCACATAGCAATTCACTGGGGAGGACGTTTGACTTATTGCTTTTCCACTTCATGTGCAGAAATTGCAATCTGCTTACGAATTTTGTGCTTCTCCTATAGCTAATGTGCCATGCATCTGTAAGGAGCAGCCATGCAGAATGCCACGTTGCAAGTAAAATACCTAGTAGCAAAGGCAAGCGTGACGAATGCTTTTCTTGCCTCAGTCTGCAGGATTATGTGTACACACAAATCAATATGATTAATTCAGATAGGTTTTTTTTCCCCATTCTCTGTTAACATCAAGTTGAACACTGCCTGAAACAGAGGGGTGCATAGAAATACTACATATGCTTATCATTGGATAAATTGTAATATTTACTCAGCTGCAGGCCTAAAGCTTGGAGTATGCCATGAGCCCTGCTTCCCTTTTAATGGCTGAAGAATAATAAGACATCTGCCTTGGAGGAGTCTCGTTCCCTCGATGCTTTTTCCAGTTTTGGGGATATTGGCTTGGTCATCAGGTGCGAGAGGGCTGTGACCATTGAGCTTCCCTGTGTCCTCAGAGCCTGAAGCTCCTGAACACACAAACCAAGATGTTGCTTGTGCTTTAAGCACGAAGCCAAAAAGYGAGCTCAGATGTAAAGCAAAGATGGCAGGCACGTAGGTAAGAAGTTATGTGAACTAGTGAAAAATTATTGGCCAGCTTGAGGCCAGCTGTCCTCAACATATGTGGAGYCTCGACGGTGCCATGCTCCTGTGGGCACCGTAAATTCCTCCCTTATTTAAAAGAGAGAATATTTTCTTTTTTTTTTCTTAGTTATTTAGAGATTGAAAGGCTTTTAATATATCCTAACATTGACTAGTCCAAGGTGCCCTCTGCTGAGGGGAGTGTGGTGTCCAGGTGCCTTTATATTCTCATATTAAAAGAGCTAAATAGTGGTTGTGATGAGGAATAGAGAGCAGAGGTCTATGCAATGGAATGAGGTGGGACAAGGAGAAAGAAAAGCTTACTTTTACTACTACCTATAAAGCTGATTTCTTCTTGCAAACATTGTCCCTGTGAATACTTGGAAATCTGTGTTGAGGCTTCCCGCTGTGCCCGGCCCCTTGGGATGCACTCGCTGTATTGCTTTACATGGTGCTGCAATGCATGGCGAGTTTTACATATATATCACATAGGAGTGTTTACAAAAAAAATTAGCATGTGATTGAGCTGGGAAGCTGCAGAGGGCCCCAACTGTACAAGTTTCCATGCGCTTCAGCCAGAAGATTTATTTCCAATTTGTTATTCATAAGGGAAGAGCGAGAGATTGGGATGGGGTCCTTTGAAGTGGGAAACAAAGTCTTCTATTCAGGCTGCAGCTTAATAGGATACACATGACACGGGCTTGGCATGGCCACCCCCTTTCATGTAACGCGCTGGCGTCTCGCTTTCCTGGGCCGGGGATACTGGTGGGGACTGGTAGTGCCAAAAGAAGTCTCCTTATCTCATGCTGCTCCTTAAGCCAAGCCTAGTGTTATCAGGTGGAGACTGTTTGTGAGGAGAGGGGAGCCAGGCAGGTGAAATTGGGGTGATTGTTGCTAAGAATTCCCTATCATGCTCAGGTGGGATGTGTAGAAGCAGTTGGGTGATTGTGGCACCTGGGCAGGCTCTTYGCAGGCACCTCGGCAGGCGCTTAACCAGCACTGGGTTTTATCCTGGGGTTGAAGGCTGGGATGGCTACAAGGCTCTAGCGATCACCTGTATTTTCAAGCCTCTAGTAGCTTCTGTGCTACTGCAAAGCCCAGCTTGCTGTAAAGACCTGTCCATTAGTGGGTCCCTTGGATGTAAGAGAAAACACGTGTGACCTTCAGCACGTTGGCTTGGCCCACAGCRTGAGTGTGGTTAGGAAGAACGTGGGCCAGGGACCTGCTTGTCCTCTTGGCCCCGTGACACTCGTTCCTCTTGGCTTCTCCTCCTCCTGYGCTGCCGCACTCATTCCCCTCCTCTCTGCTTCGCATGCTCAGGTCTGGAGCCCGAGTGAATCACCGAAATCAGAGATGGAAAGAAATGCATGAGGTCATCACAGGCGGTCCTTGCCAAGGCGGGATGATTCCCTGCAGAACCATCTCAGTGCCTTCTCCAGTCTATTTTTAAATGACTCAAAGGAGAGGGCTTTCCTCTCTTCCCTGGGGAGACTGGCTATGCAGTCCAATAGACCTCACTGTTTGGGAATTTTCTTCCTGTTCTCCAGCYTCAGTTCTCCTTTTGCCTAGTTTAATTGAACTGTTCCTAACTCCACCCTTCTGAACAATTTTCCATCCTGCATGGCTCTCGCGTTACCTGTTGTCAGTGTGYGGGCTGAGCGGGCGGGAATTCATCAGCTTGCCTTGCTTGGCAAAGGCGCTTTGTRCAGCAAGGAAGTCAGGTTCTGTCAGAAACGAGTTGTCAGAGCCCTGTGCCAACAACTGGGAATGACCTTTTGCTCCTTTGGGCAATGCCATTAAGATAAACCCTCTCGAGACTGACTGAGGGCAGGCTGGGCTTCTGGCAAAGCCACCGAGGTCTGCATCAATGGTCTCGCTGTCCTGTTGGTCCTCCAGCAGATCCTCCATTGTGGCTTGTGCATGACCAAAACAACTGGGCTGAATCCCAGGCTCTACTTGTACATATATACATACTTGGGGATATTTTTTAAATTAAAAAACACAGTTGCTCTCTCTCTGCCAAGTGGCCCCAGCACTTAGATTTCCAAATCCTAGTATTCAGTGAGAGTTTTCCTAAGCACCTTAAGTTTTAGGAGAGTGGGCTTTGGAGGTGGGATTTGTRCATCGATAGTGCTTGGAGGCTCTGGAAAATAGCGTTCTTTGTCCTATGGGATTGTGTGTCCTACAGCAGGAACGCCTTGCAAGAAAACAGGATGTCCAAAGAGCGTAAGCTATTCCAGAAAAGCATCTTAAGGGTTTGAAGAATTGTGAGTCCTCATTTGTTTATTTATGAGATGAATATCGGTTTTTGCTGCGGGTGACAGCAGAACAGCAACACATACTGAAAGCACCAGGAAGAAGAAGGGCGAGCATTAAAAGCCACGGAAAGCCCTTCAGTGCTTTCGCAAAGCGGAGCTGCAGCTGTTTAGCCRTGGCAAGATACCAGACACCATTGTGGCTGGCCATTGTTTTTCTGAACAGTTTGATTTTTCAAACATTCAAGCGAGGCAGCGGCAGCAGCCAAGCCGGAGCGCGCGGGGCGCGAGGACGGCGCGTTCAGTGACGAGTCAGCGAAACAAGGGGAGCCAGAATCCCGTGCCCCCGTGGGATTGCAGGTTGGGAGGCTGAGAGCAAGAGCGCAGCCTCGCGCCGCTATCGGGTTGCTTTCGAGACTGTTTTATAGCAGAGAAATAATACAGCTTTAAAAGTGAGATAGTGCCGCGGCTATAAAATAGAATTAATGATTTCTTTGCGGTAGGGCTCCGCAGGGCCGGAGAAGCCCATGCCTTTTCAGTGAGCGCTCCTCTCAGCATAACAAAGTGGAAATCCCTGCTCCAGAGGTTTTCCACTGAGGAGCCTGGGAAGGGGGAGATGGAGCGTGGGCGGAGGAGGCGAGAACAAGGTGACCGTGGCCGGCGTGGCGGCCTGTGTTGGCCCTGCCTGCTGAGCCCCGCTGACTCATCACGCCGTGTTTTCCATTCGGTCCCGAGCGCGTGTTTGGGATAGGCCCCGCTGGCGTTAGCAGTTTACGAGGCACGTGGATCTAGTGATGTTACGTGTTGGAGGGCCGGGAGCGCCGCGTGTGGGAGCACGAGGAGAAGGGAGTGTGGTCCCGGGGGACACCGGGCACAGAGCGGGCACCACAGGCACCTGCAAGGGCAGCAACAACAGCCACTCCCCAAGGATGGGGCTTGGGGGGGAAAGGGGGACAAGAGGGGCTGGTTCAGGGACTGCAGAGGGGGGCAAACAGGATTCCCACATCACGGAGCCAGGAATCCCTTATCCTGGATGGGAGCGTTGGGTGCAGCGGGGCTGCACTGATGTTTTGCATGGCCCCCTTCCTACCCCTCCCAATGGTCTGTTTTGCACGGGTGTATCTGCCAAAACCAAAATAAGTTCACAAAACGTTTGCAGAGTTGCATGGCCACAGGCTTAAATACATACATATGAAATCCCTGAAAGCAAATACATATGAAATCCCTGAAAGCAATTTGCTTCAAGCCCTTCTCAGTTCCAGACATCTTTCTCACTCCATCTGCTTGTTCGAGTACACAAGTTCCTTGGGAAAAATCACTTATTACATCACTGAAAAATGCCACAAAAATAGCTTTTCGTTTAAGTTCCCATCCTCAGAGCTAACTCACATGGGRATCAGATAGATTCGAACATTTAATAACTTTTTATTTTCCTTTCTCTTTAAACACAGGATCTCTGGTCATGGAAGCAGGGTCACGTGGTGGATTCTTGGCAGTCAGCAGTCTGTGGAGCTTTTGCAGGTGCAAAGGATTATATGTTATACTGAGAAAGACTAAAGAAGAAAGGGAAAAATGTGCAAATCTATTAAGTATAGCAGAACAGCATTCTTTTGTAATTCAAGTTTGTTTAGAAGAAAGCGGATCCAGTTGTTTGGGAGAAGGAAAGTCAGAAAAGGAAAGACAAGCGACGGGGAAAAAAAAAAAGACTCAAGCAGGGTGTCTGTTTGAAAGACAACCAATTTGTTTTTGACAAATTTCTGTTATTTAAAAGCCCGGGCGCTGTCAGTCAGGCTTTGCGATTATTTCCAAGTTGATTTGTGAAATGCTCATCCAGGGGAATGTCCGCTGGGTGCGGGTTTGTGCAGCTGGCCGCTCCGAGCGCTTCCCCGAGGCTCCAGGGACTGCGGCGAGMGGCCGTGATTCACCCTCCGTGTGACGGCCCTGACAGCCACGGAGATTAACTGGAGTCAGGAGAGCACCAGCCCCAAGGCAAAAGCCTTCCGCAGCAGCGAAAAGTAAAGTAAAATAAAATAAAGCCCCAAAGAACAGGGGGCGAAACATCTGGGCAGTCTGCAGACACTAGAGCAAGGGTAAAGAGTGGCAGGATACAATGCTGCACTATTTATTACCAAACAAGCCAGAAGTTAATTGGATTCTTCAGGAGGCTTCTTTCTTGATTTTAGTCTACTGTAGGTGTTTAAAAAAAAATTAGTGACTCATCAGTATAGCTGACAAGTTAGAGGGAGGAGAGACTCAACTGTCTTAATAGAAAAAGCAGATTAGTGCTTTAGAGATGGATAGCCAGAGCTTTTCCCCAAGGAGCTAAAATACTTTTTAAGATTCCAAATCAGTAACAGAATATGTGAAAAAAAAAAATCCCGTTAAAAAAGAAATTATAGCACTTCTAGAAATAGAGATTATCAAAAGCAAAGCTTGTTCTTTCATGACTTACAAGATCGGAGCCATTGCCTTGTATATAATTTTTTAAAATAAGCTCTGYAGGGGGAATTGAAGTATTAATAGCAGCCGAATTCCAGCAGAGATTAAGCTATGGAGGCTTCATTTTGATAGGCGCTGTGAGTGCACATGCTAAGAGAGAAATCATTGCTTTAATTGCTCACAGTTTAATAAAGCAGGCACACAAGCTGTGAGGAATGGTTTAGGTAGAATTGATTCTATTTTGGGGTGGGGAGGGTGTATTATATGATCTTTCATAGTCTCATCCAGCCCTGTTTTCCAAGTTTATGCAGCGGGAAGAGACTCTTACTCTGCTTTTGGATTTTATACTGCCTTAATTGGTGCAAACAAAGTCAGAGAACTGAGATTGAAGTCGAGTATCCTTTTTATGTTTTGAAACAAAACAAGGCAGCGGGCTAAATTCTTTAAAATGGAATCTGCTGCAGGTGTGATAGGGGATCATTAGCTTAACTCTGATCTCTTTACAATCATATTGATACAGATCCTGCGCTCAGGCACGTTCGGAGCTGGAAAGGTTATCTGATTTACCCAAGGCCTTGAGCAGTAATTTCCTCAAGTCCAATTTAGCGCCTCAATTGCAAAGCTAGCCCCGTGTCTCCATTTCCTTCTCTGTACATCTTGATTCTGGCTAGTTAGGTTGGCCTTTTTGGTGGATATTTGGTGGAGTCTGCTCCCCTTCTAGCAGAAACATTGCAGGAGGGGCTTCCAGAGGGAAGAGGGAGGTCTCCCTTGGGCAGATCCCAACTTCTGGATCAGCACGGAGACGTCCTGCTCCTTGGAGCTGGTAGAGGGCACAGTTCAGCCAAAAAGAAAATTCCCCAAAAGAAAATTTCATTCCCAAAGCAGAAATCCTTGGAGGACTGGAGTCTTACTTGGTAGATTGTGTTATAGTTGATGATATGTTCTACTCTGGTACCTTATGCKTTTGTCTTTGTTTTGTCTGCTATGCTTTTATTTCCTTTGKTTTTTTTTCTTGCCTATTCTTTCCTTTCTAACAACAATATTTTTAACTTCTTCCATCATTTCGCAGAATCACACACAAAATCACAGACTATTTGAGGTTGGAAGGGCCTCTAGAGATCATATAACCCTCTGAGAGCTTCAAAGCTCTTAAGATTGAATTATTTTTGGATCGGAACTTTACTCTTCTGTCTCCGTTCTCTCCCTCTGTAGATACGTGACAGACAGGCCCAGTATTGAGCTATTCAACCACTGCATCCGTTCTCTCACATTGAAAAACTCCAGCACCTTTGCTGAGGGGGAGATGTGGATAAGTAGTTTCCCTGAAGATGGAATCCACAGTTAAAAACTGTTAACTGTTTGCTTAGAGCTTCAAACAAGGGGAACAAAACCCAAATTACACTCTTCCATATCCTCTCCCTCTCTCAGCCCCCCAATACTCTGTGCACAGCAGAATGATTTAAATTCACGACATTATAAATCTTGAAAGGAGAAGGAGATTACTTAGAAACCAGCCTTTAAACACACAGATACTATCAAATGCCACCATGGTAGCAGTGGGATACAGRCAAGATCTTCTCCTGTGTTCTGTGCTTCAATTCAATACTTTCTAAAAATATATTACGGGTCCTGAGGGGCAGGGTCATAAGCTGAAGCAAAGTGAAAGAGAAGTCTTGTTTGGCCTCCCTGTATGGCACACACATAGATGTGTGTGTCTGTGTGTGCTCGTTAGCTCCTAGAGAAACCATAATTGATTATTTGGCAGAGAGGGAATCAAAAGCAACAATATATTGAATTCCATCCCAAAAGCCTGTGAAATGGCAGCGACTTGAGCCAAAGTGCTCTGAGAGGCCTGACTCTTCCTTGTCGGGTGCAGATGTGTAAAATATATGTATGCAATCTGCAGGCTTTTCATAGAAACAGAGTAGACATGAGCATAAATATCAGCTAGAGACTTGGAATCCTCTCTGTGTCATCTGTTAATAATTTAATCCCCAGAGGCTTTGTCCAGCTTTATTATCATTTCTGGTGTCTTAACTAATGGAGATGTTTGGAACGGTGTAGGAGAGAGGAAGATTTCCGAGCAGGCGTCCCAGGAGGAACCCAAGGGTAGGTCTACACTATATCTGAAGCCTAAGGTTGTGTCTGAGCTCATCTCCGAGATGTTTGGGTACCAGCCTGGATTTGGGCAGAGGTTTTGACAGGCTCAAGGCGAGTGAGACAAGTGTGTCCCTGTATTGCAGACAGGCTAGAAGTGGTTCTGTCTGGTGCTTGAGTCTTCTTTGAGCTTGGCCAGTCCAACCAATCCATTCTGTATCGGGACAGATTGTCCTGGGAGAGGCTTTTTGGCAGGTTCTGTGGGTCTTCCATGGGGCTGGCTCCACGGCAAGGAAATTCTGCCGTCGGCTACTGACTAAGCTGGCAGGGCGGCCACTGCTTGTCAAAGAACCTGAGTGTCAATTTAACACAACTGAAAATTGTCCCTTCCAAAGATGCCCTCTTTCTCCCAGAGCGTGTGGCCTAACATTAATAATTTATGTTCTGTGGTGACAGAGTCGCAGACAGGGAATGGAGGTGCAAGCCTAGTGAATAATAAAGCACTAACAAGAGCTTTTTGCACATTAACRGAGAAGATTTCCCATCATTTTTTGTTTTGATTTAATTAACTCTGACAAGATTGCACGCTGTGTCTAAAAGCCTCTTTAACGCTACAGCTCTGAATAAATCTTGGAGTAGTTTTCACGGCTTCCCTTCAGTGTCTTCTTGGACCATGCTTCTAAATCGAGATTCTTAAAATCACGGGGGAAGAAGTGCTTTGTGTCCTGGGCCTCTGCTCAGATCTGGAAAGCTGCTTTCCTGGGGGACTTTGCTCTATCATTATGAGGACTTATTCCTGCAGTCATAAAGGACCAGGATAAAATTCTCCTTGAAAGTTAATGCAATATCGATAAGGTACAAGTTTAAATAAGAACTGATTAAGTGAAGATATCTGAAAAAGGGCATCTGGGAGTCTGGAAAAAAGGCAATATAAGAGGATATTGTGTGGTTTAGTAGGGTAGCATTATTCAGTTTTTCAGTTTTAATTTGACATTCAGTCTTAAAAACCTGTCTGGGSGAACCTTCAGATTGTATGGAAAACAGTAATAAAGACAGGCAATGATCAGTTTTATTTATCATTGTTGTTTTTTTAACTTTATCTAAGCTAAGCTGATTCAATCAAAAACATTTTTGTAGTCCAGTACAGGTTTGTATCTTTTGAAATAGGCTTTGCTTTAACCTGCATTGGGCCTGAATTTGAAAAGGGTGTTGGGACAAGCTAGGTGTAGAGTCAGAATGGGGAGAAGCCCTTGTGCTGTCTGGCCAGAAGGGTTCCCCAAGGCCTTTAGACTGGGTGAGAAAAAAGTAAGGCGGTGAGGGAAAAAAAGAAAGATTGAAGAGGAACTTGCCTTCCTCCTTCCTAAGATCTCCTTTGAGGAGTGTTCAAAAGAACCACTGATGTATTCTGCTTTAGCAGCAGCAAATTGTGCAGGCAGACACCTTGCTGCTAGGCCCTAGAATTTCACTTCATTCAGATGTTTTTCTGTTTTTATTCAAATCTGACAGCTAGAAAATGCCAGTAGGAAACTAGGAGAATATCCAAGTCTGCAAGAATTTTTGCTCTTAGTGCCCGGTGAAAGGAAGTTGCTCTCGCTTCCGTCAAGAACCAGTCACTGGGRAGGTATGCACAGGGGATTATCTGCTTAACGCTCTGCTCGTAGTGTAGGCCTCCCAGTTGACATGTGTGAATAGAGCATCCATGTAACTTCTTGGGAGGTGGGTAGTGGATTTTAAATATGGTATTAACCTCTTTCTTCCATTAGAGGAGCTTSTCATTCTATTAGTAGCATTAACAASCCAAGAGCTTTCTCCCTACATRCAAATGCATCGTTGTGCCAACCTACAGAGATCAAGTCACTCTAGGTCCTTCTAGGACAAGGGAAAGAAGGGAGCCTTCTCCAAGGGTGAGCCGGTGATTGAGTCTTTGCATCCGGGCAGAGGCTGCTGCCAACGGTGTCATTTTCTTAATTCAACTCTTTGGAGAAGCCAGAGTGATTAGGGATGGATGGTTGGATGTGGCTGATCCTTCCGTCCCTCCCTGATACTTTGATACCTGGTTTTCATCCATGTGGATCTGGACAGAGTCCAGCTCTTGGAGGAGTTGGCAATGGCAGGATTGGACTAGATAAGTGACAGAGCTGTTGGGCCTTCCTGTGTAYTGGACAATCCGGAGCACACCCTCCTGTTGTGAATGATTAGACTCTGCTGCATCAGCCTGTATCTGTTTCATTAATCTGATCAATGGGATCGGTCCCATTGTACCAAGTTCCTTTACCTGCTTAAAGCAGGTGGGRCTCACCAGTACTGCACAAGCAGTAGCCTGTTCTGGGATACATGTGCAATAAAGCCAAGGTGGTCAATCTGAAATCACCTTGGACATCCAGGTTAAGGATGGAGGAAATTATTTTTCCCRAGCTTGTTGTCTTCAGTAAAAGGTAGTTCTCAATAAGTGCTAGTTTTAAGCTTGTGTTTTTGTCAAGCAAATTCAACCTTGCATTTAATTTAATCAGTATTKTGCTGCTTGTGTTTATGAAGCTGTTTATGGTTGCTGTTGTCATTCTAAATAGATTGAAAATTTTGTACTTCCCAGTGATAGAAAAAGAAGCATAGAAATGTTAACAGCGGAAAAGCTTGAAAGATCCAGATATTAGCTGGGAAAAAATGAAAACCTAATCAGCCTTGATTAAACCTTTCAGATAAGAATGTTTGGGAACATTGTATCAGAATAAATGGTACTTATTCTAATCCTTCTATCAGCCAAGATTGAATCTTCTGCCAATAAGAAACTCCTAGGAGTGAATGCCTACAAAAATTACCAGGATCTGATAAGGAAAATAAGTGAGTCTTACCGAAGTGTTACTGTCAGCTCTCTAGCCAAGTGATGCATCGAGATCTGTGCTTGGTACAGGACTAACAGCCCTGTGGGTCACTGTTTAATTTTATCTTGTTCTGTGAGCAAAGGAAAGGCTTCTACAAACTTGTAAATCCACTATTTTCCATGGAGATTATTTTTACTGCTCTAAAAATACATCACTGACACGAGTACCAAAGTCTCTAACCAGATCATTCTCTCGAAGCCTTTGGGTCATTTTGTCAAAAACTGGCTGAYGCTGAAAAGAATTTTGACCTTCAGTGAGGTCCAAGAATGGGCTGGAATTGKATTTTTCTGTTGGCTTCTTGAGTACAACCCATTTTTCTACTTTTTTTTTAAATTTTTCCTTTATTTTTTTGTGAGGTATCACTGCTAGAAAGCTGCTGGCAAAGTGAAACCAGTGGTTCAAGCCGGGGCCCCTGGGTGATTCCCCTTCCCTGCATTCTTGTGGGAGATCCAGGAGTCGCATGTTTGCCTTCCTACGTGTCCTACATTGTCATGGAATGTTCCTTGATTAACCTTGGGAGTCAAGACAGGGTGCCAGCTCTTTCTCACAAGTCCAGATTTTAGTATTTTAAAGCCTGGGGAAGGGCAATACAGGCAAAACACAAGCTAGTGGAGAAGATGGAAATTTTTTTCATTACTGATGTATGAAAAAAAAAAATCTCCCATCCTAAGAGAAGGGAGATCAATTTTTCTGCATTCCATAAAACTTGGAACAGAAGAGGGATTATTTTTAGCATATTCCCTGGGTACTGTGTAGGCTTCAGCCTTTGGAGCCACTTCTTTCCCCACTCGAGGAGATGCAAGATTTATACAAGCTCCGGAGAAGAAAAGAAGGGAAGAGGAGAGTGATTCGAAACAAATCTCTCTTTTTTGTCTTCCCTCCTTTCTTCTCAGGTCTTCACTTACTGGTCTAATTCTCTGTTCTCCAGCATTTTGACTGTTTCCTTCACTTCACCTCTTCCAGAATGTAAATGTTGAAAAGGGGAGAGGGTTTAAGAGTTAATTTTAAGGTGGGGGAAATAAGGCAAAGGGAGCACCAGCCTGGGAGAAGCAGCAGCCAGCCTAGTCCCTAAGTAGCATGAGAGGCCGTAGCTGTAGCCACAGGGTTAAATATGGAGAAATAAGCAAATTTATGGGTGAGACGTGCCCAGGGACAAGGCTGAGACTTCTGGCTTTCAGTAAGAAAGCCACAGCTGAGCTGGCCGCTCTCAGTGAAAGCAGTGAGCTCAAAGCRGGGTGTTTGGGAGCGATTACAGACAATAAAAACGCCTGCGGGGAGGGGATGACACTTGTGGGAGCTCGTGGCCGCAGACTTGGGGCAGTTTCAAGACTTTTGGGCAGTTCCAGGTTGTTGCATTCAGAAAACGAGCTCATCTCCTTCCTCGGAGATGAACCCAGTCCCAGGCACTGGCTTGGCTTCTCTTCTCGCAACAAGAATCCCAGGTCTAATGCTCAGTGTCCACATCCTGCCTGTATAATTCCATATATGTCTTGTGGGCAGGCCTGTAATGCACACACATCTTGTGCACGGAGTCTTTCCTTTCTTTGCATTCCCCCTGTCCAGTTGGTTGGTCAGGCTTTAATTCTYCAAACAGAGCACAGCTCAATAAGCCTATTTTTCTTTCTCTGCAAGTAAGCAAGCAGGTTCTCTCTGTCATCCTTGTCTYAGACGTGGAAAGTGGAATCTGTTACCCTGAAGCTGTAGGGTCTTCATGTGCTTATGTATGTCCAGAGACAAAGAGCACAAATCTCAACACGAGCGTTTAAATTTACAGTTAATAGGAGAGAACAGTTTCTCTGTAAGTTGACACAGGAGAATAAAACTCTCTCTGTTACAGACACTTAACAAAAACACCTATTTGCTGAAGTGAGGAAACGAGCTGTAGGCAGAAATAATAAAGCAACGTTGGCCGTGGCCACGGGAATTAAAGGCAGGGTTGCATTCATATTCAATCAACAACGTCTCACTTGTGTTTGGTGTTTCCGTTTGCTCAGGTGGATTTGCAGCTGCCGTCACCACACCTCTGGACGTAGCAAAGACGAGAATTATGTTGGCAAAGGTAAGTCGAGGAGGAGACCAGCAAACGAGCAGGTGAATGACAGGGGTGGATTCAGAATTTCTTCATGGTCGCAACGGAGTGAAATCCAGCACCTATTAATGATGACTTGTTGCTCTGGTCCTCAAAGGCAGGATTAGATGTAAGCAGAYACTATGCACAGAACTAATGAAATTGTTGTGCTCCTGCCCTTGAAAGGCTTTGCTGGTCCTTTCCCAGAGCAGCTGGCTGAGAAGGGCCTGCACTTGTGCTGCTTTCTGGGCTTCGGGGCTCTCATGTGGTGTCTGTAGGGGAAAATGCTCCTAGGGCCAGATGCCCAAAGTTAAAAGTCCCACTGGGGATTTATTCCTCTGTTATTTTTGATAATAGTTGACATTTTGTGTGCCTTTCCCAAGGAGGGCTTGGCACTGCATATCTGTCCTAAAATTTCAGGCCACAGATATTACAGTGATGAAGTTTTGCCAAGCAGGGCAGAAGGAGAATTGCTTGTAAGAGTATCCATTAGCTTTCCCATCACTACTGTGCTGACCCACAGAGGAGCTAACCTGTCACAGGGAGAAAAACCTTCCGGTGAAGATTCCTGAGGCTTCTCCCAGCCCTGGAAAGCGCTGTGCTGGTTGCAGAGGTCAGGTACCCTGCGACGTCAAGGCGCAGGTTTTGCCCTGCTGCTCACGCCCCTCAGCAGAGGGATGTTTCTTGGTGACCTGCACCTGCTTGTGTGAACTGCGCTCATCCCTGTCCTCGGAGATACTGAGACCCTCCAAGCAAGGTTTTTGTTAGTTATCTCACACTAACAAGATCACACGTGCAATCTGATAGTCTGTGGTCCTGCTGTCTGGCCTGTTTTCCACTTAGGGTAATCTTCGCTTGCAATGCATTGCTCGTGGTTTTGTAAAATCATTATTTGTAATGTGGATATTCTTTTAGTAAATCTTAAGGCTGCTGTGAGTCAAGTTTTGAAGTCAGCAAGCAGCAAAGTCACTTGTCAATGTTCTGGGAATCTGTTTTTATTTGTGTCTTCCTCCTGGGTCAGCTGTGTGAGCTTGGACCCACTGCTTTGTTGTGCCTCACTATTCCTTCCTGTCCCTTGTCTCGATTTGTCGACAGTGACCTTTGTGCACAGGGTRAGGAGACTGATTAGGACCTTGGGAAGTGCTGCAATGTCGCGCCAGCCAGGAACAGGCTGCTCAGTAAATAAAACTCAATAAATCTCTTTTATTTTTTCCTGAATTTTCTAAAAGGAATGTCTGCCTGTTTTGTGTTTCAGGCTGGTTCCACTAATGCGAGTGGGAATGTTCTGGCTGCTCTCGGTGGCATCTGGAGGACACAAGGCCTGTCGGGGTAAGAACATGCTCAAGAGCACATCTCRGGTGCTTGCAGCTCCAGGTGGCACTGGGGGTGCAGCAGGGGGTGGGCCGGGCTGTTTATATTAAGGCTGTCTGTCATACAGGGCTGTGTACAGAGCCAGGCACCTAAGTGCCCGGGTCCCTCTGGCCTGGTCGCACATCTCGAGCACTGACCATGCACAGTGTCCAGGAACGAGTATAGAAACAAGGCCAAACATACAGTGTGCACCTTCCCATATAATCTCCAGGGCTGTACTGGGAAAGTCCCCTTTGCGCATTCCTGAGGYTGGGAATTGCTCTGTTGACCTTGGAGAGGTGTTGAGAAAGAAAAACCACCCTGCTGGTGCTTGTAGAGCACCTTGCGAGCTGTCGAGAAAGGTGTCCCAGGCCTGTGAGTTAGTGTGGTTCTTTTTATGGGCACCTGATCCATTATGTTGGAACCTCCCAACCTTCAGCCTTCCCGGGCGGAGGCGGGAAGCAGGGCTGTGTGTTTGTGCAGGGGCGTTGCGGCAGGGCCCTTTCCTAAGCAGTCCCGAATTAAACACTGGCCTAAAGATAGTTCCCGTGGACTGGGACCAAAGGGAACACAAATCTGAAATCAAAACAATAAGTGATCTGGAGAAAAAGCAACATGTAGGGTAGGCCAAGCGGCGTCAGCTGCGAGGAAAAGGAAGAAAGTCTTGGGAAAAATAAACGCAGAGGCTGCCATGCCTGCTGCCAATTATAAATCTATTAATCAAAAACAATAAAAGTGTCGGGCTTTTTTGGCCAGTTGCAACACGAAATGATTTATGGCTTCTCTAATAAATCTCATACTTGACGAGGAGGAATTCTGGGGGCAGAAAGATGCTTATTGCCACCTTATTAAAACCAGAGCACGGGGCTCAACTTCCTGTTTTGCACCTAGTAAATCCTTGGGTTTCGCACCAAGRAATTCTGCATCCCTTTCTGTCCGGAGCGAGCCAGGCTGCAGGAATAGATAGACGGGGTGCAGGATGGATGTTCCTCGCGGGCGCGGGGCTCACGCTGCCCTGCGCCCGCAGCCTCTTCGCCGGCCTCRTCCCGCGCGTGGCGGCCATCAGCCTGGGCGGCTGCATCTTCCTGGGCACCTACGAGAAGACCCGGCGGCTGCTGCTGTGACCCCGGCGGCGCCTCCCGCGAGCGGCCGCTCCTGCTGACAACGCTCCCGGGTCCCCAGCGCGACGTTTTCCCGCGTGGAGAGCGAGGGAGCGCCACGAGGACCCGTTCGAGGGGTAACCGGCGACGCGGGCTGGGCGCGGGGCCGGAATAAAGCGAGTTTGCACCYTGCAGCAGCACCTGCCTCGTGACGCGGGAGGGCGGCGGCGCCGGGGGGAAACTGCCCCGCTCGGGAGCGCGCCTTGCACGAGCCCGGGATGCGGCGCTGCTCCTTGGAGCCGTTTGCCAGCGTTCCCGGTGGTGCCTGCAGGGGCCCGGGCCGTGCACAGCTCTGCTCACGRGGCTCACGATTCCGCAGGAAAACTGTATTTCCTACTAAAACTTTTAARATAAGAGGGAGTTGGAGCTTTTAGTTGCTAGAGCTGAAAATAATTATGCTGTCCTCCTATTTTGGGCTCAGGGTTGATTTTTTTGATCAGGATTTGTTATCACTTTTTTTTTAACTATGCAAAAATCAGCATTAGAAATAAAAAAAAAAAAAAAAAAGAACACCCCACACCACCTAATTTTGCTCTTGTTGCCCCTTGCCAAGGCTGAAGCATCCCTTGGTGAGGGATGCGTCCCAACCTCCCTCCTTTCCCTTTTGCCGCCCTCCTGCTGCCCCTCACAGGTTGTTTTAGGTCCCAGAGCGGTTGTGGTGACGCAGGCTGCGCKCGTGTGCAGGCCCCCTTGGTGCTCACGGTGTCCCTGCGTCTCCATTGCACACCCAGGGCCACGTTTTTCTTACTTAAGCCCCTTGCAACACGCACGCTGAGGGCCCTTGCCAGGCACTCAAGCAGCTGCTGTATTAGAAATGTATTTCTCAAGGGCTTTATTGCAGCTTTTGATGCTGCCCCGACTTCCATCCCAGCCCCGAGTCAGCCTTGCAGATSTGCACGACGCCGTGCTCGGCGTGGGGCTGGTCTCACCCGCAGCTCCTGGGCACTTTCAGCAGAGAGGCGCAACGGGTAAGAATTTTATGTAGTTTTGCACTGGCCCTCCCCAAAGCTCACTCAACAAAAAGGCTGTAATATTATAAATGAACCTTTATTAAAGACACTTCAATGCCATTTGTTAGACACTTCAATATCTTACATGTTTGTCAATGTACAACATTGTACCAAATTTTCTAATAAATAAATAACTTTGTACACAAAAGTAATACTTCCTCTTTCACATTGCCTCTTAGAAGCAGCAAATTCACATATTTAGTGGAAGTCATAATGTTAGGCAGTTAACTTTAGTCAGAAACATTATTTTCAAATGTTAATGTGGCAAATACGCTTTATATCTGCAATGGTGGTGACATTTCCGCCAGCAAAATGAGGCTATTAAATCATTCCCATCTCCCCCCCTGCTCCCAGTTCCACTGTTTCCACCCGGTGGGTCAGCTCTGAAAGGCGCTTTTCCCTTGAGTAAAAGGAAAAACGTTCAGGATTTCCCAGCATCCATGTCCTGTGCTTGGAATGAGCTCRGCGCTCCACGTCATTAGGCACCTGTCTCAAAGTGCAAATGTGTCAGCAGTGACAAACGATGGCGACAGGTACCCGGCCGAGCTGCGCCGTGTCCGGCGGGGCCAGCTCCACACAGGTCTCCGCAGGTTAAACCCGTCCTAAGCTACTCGGCCAGAGCCCAGGCGCCTCCTCCGTGAGGGACACGGTGCCTCCCCACGGCAAGGCTGGACAGGAGCTGCTTGTAATAAAATAGACGGGCACCTGGGGCCCTTTCCAGCAATCCACTGACTTTTACCTAAGCTTGGCAGGGCCGTGGCAGAGCTGGCCGGAGCAGAAGATGCTGCATTTCTGCCCTTGCTTCTGGCGCCTGGCTTTGGCAGCAGTACTGGAGCAAAAGTGGGTTTCTAGTGGACTCTGCCTCAGTGGAACTGGCATCTGACCTGCTCCTAAGGAAAAAAAGTGACAACCCCCCCAATAAACCTTTCCCCAAAGTAGTCAACACCAGAGTTTAGCAACCTATGTTAGCAGAACTCAAATTACAAGTAACTGGAAAGGAGTCCTCCATCCACAGGTACCAACACCGACAGAAAGCAGCCTTTGGATAAATAAAAATCCATAGTGAAGTTATAAATGACAAGGATCTGTTTGACCAAGGTGGGTGGGTTTTTCTTCCCCCCCCCCCATTCATGGATGAACTTAAAAGACCCCATAAAAATACTTGGGACATTTCTGTTTCGGAGAGTATTCCTGACCATCCCTAGACTGTTTCCCTTCTACATCAGTAGGTCTGTGGCTGAAGAGCCTGGAATTGCTGAGCAGAGCAGCGGGAGCCCTTGCCCGCAGACGGTTTCACAGGAGGAGCCCGGCTGCAGCGCGGGGCGAGGCTGAAAGCTCCGTGTTGCGGCTGGACCGGCCCGTGACGAGCAGCGTGAGCCTGGCTTTGTGCCACACACCCATGGGGGTCAATCCCTGCTGGAAGGACTGGGGCGGGGGGCAAGTGCCTGATGCCGGTCGGGTTATTCCCTCACCCTTAACACACAGCCACAGGTCACCTACTCCTTTTTATGCAGTTCTGAAAAATATAACTTAAATTTCCTCCACAAGCAGGAAAAAAAACCCCAGGTTGCTACGCACTGTCTGAGTGCTTGTGGGTTTTTCTTTTTCTTTTTTTTTGCTATAAACTTCATTTAAACTAACTGAAGATCTCTGCTTAAATGTGTTAAGTGCAATAAATTACAAAGGGGAAGGAGATTTGTGCTAAGTAACCCAATTGATACTTGATTTAAAGGAACATCCATTGAAAAAAGGATAATCCCTTTAGAACAGTCTGTTTTTTTAAAAGTTCTGCTTATGCATTTAAGGCACCAGGATTATTTTTCTCATAAAGTTTAACAGCAACCTGATACTGAGAACAATATTGCCAAAAAATGTAAAATTTCACTCAGTTTTCCATGCACTAAAGATTAAAATACCCTCTGTAAAAGATATATATATATTTATATATATATATTTATATATGAAAACTCTTATATACAATTGTATCAAATACTTTTCTCTTTACACAATAATCCCTTGCATTTATGTGCTTCATATGCAAGTCAACTTTTGAACGCTTCATACTTCTCAGGGAAGTTTTAAAGTATGTACAAACAGGTGACGCTCGAATAGGAGGTTGCTCCCCATACAAGCTCGTTTCTCATACCTCAGCTGGTTGCCTTTGACAGGGCAGCAGTTCAGGGTTTGAGGTAGAAGTAAGTAGCCCATATATTCTGTGCAAAAAAAAAAAAAAAGAAAAAGGTAAAGTAATAGCGTGTTTGTTAATTTGCACGTGGCAAGCCTGGTCTCTCAGTCCACTGATAGTGCCGGGGGCTCCACGTGGGGAAGGGAGCCGCGGGGCGGGTGCCGCGGGGCCGCCTGGCTCTGCGCGCGCGGCCGCGCCGGGGGCAGCTCGGGCAGCACGTTGGGCTGCTCCAGGGACCCTCCTGCTGGAGCAGCTTTCACGGAATTAAGGTTGTTCAGCTCGGAAGGCTTTGCAAACGACTGGCAGGAGTCTGCRGGAAAAGAGAGGGCAAACGGGGTTAGCTGAGGCACCAGCACAGCCCCAAACCACCCGTCACCCAAGTCCTTCAGCCGTAAAGCGCGGGACGGGCAGGTGAGCACTCACCCGCGGGGCTCATCCTGTCGTGGTTGCTGGGGTAGAGGCTCCCGGGGGTGCGCGGGGCCGCAGGGAGGCGGCTGGCGGCCCCAGCCCCGCTGCCCTCCGTGGCGCCCGCCGCCCCTCG